CACAACAGAAAGGGCCACACAGCCAATGTAGGGGCATCCTTAGATCATATAGTTCTGGTGTTAAGACGGGGGTGCTCTGCTGGGATACACTGGACATCTACAAAAAGCCAGTTCTCCAAGGTCAAGAAATGAAACCAACCTGCCAGATACAAAGAAAGGAAAACGAGTTAGGCAAAATGAGTCAATAGGGGAACATGTTCCAATTGAAGGAACATGATGAAACCCTAGAAGAACTAAGTGGAGATAGGCAATCTACCTGAAAAGGAATTCAGAGTATTGATTGTAAAGATGATCAAATAACGGGAGAAGAATGGATGCACAGAGGGAGAGGTTAGAATTTTTTAACAAAGAGTTAGAAAAAATAACATAACTGGAATGAAAAATACACTAGTAGATATCAACAGTAGACTAAATGATACAGAGGAACCAATGAGCTAGCTAGAAGACAGACTAGTGGAAATCACTGATGCTGAGCAGAAAAAAAAAAAGGAAAACTAATGAAAAGAAATGAGAAGAGTTTAAGAGATCTCTGGTAGAACAATGAGTGCACTATTTGCATAACAGGAGTCCCAGGAAGAGAAGAGAAGAGAAAGAGAAAGGGGCTGAGAACACATTTGAAGACATTATAACAAAACTTCCCTGACCCGGGAAAGGAAACATCCAAGCCTAGGAAGCACAAAGAGTCCCAAACAGGATTAAGCCAAAGAGGAACACACCAAGACACATTGTGATTAAAATGGTAAAAAAAACTAAAGATAGAGAATATTAAAAGCAGCAAGGGAAAAAAGCAAGTTACATACAAGGGAACTCCCATTAGGCTATCAGCTGACTTTTCAGCAGAATCTCTGCAGGCCAGAAGGGAGTGGCACCGTGTATTCAAAGCGATGAAAGGAAGAAACATACAACTGAGAATACTCTACCCAGCAAGCCTCTCATGCAGAGCTTATCGATATCACCTCACACCTGCCAGATGGTTACCATCAAAAAGCCCACAAATAACAAGTGTTGTTGAGGATGTGCGGAAAAGGGAATCCCAGCACAGATGTTAGGAATGCAAAGTGGTGCGGCCACTATAGAAAACAGAATGGAGACTCCTCAAAAAACTAAAAACAGAGCCACCATATGACCAAGAAATTCCACTTCTGAGTATTATATACATATATATATATAAAAAATATGTATATATATACTATATATATATGAAAAAATAAACACTAATTCAAAAAATACATGCACCCCAATGTTCATAGCTGCATTATTTATAACAGCCAAGATAAGGAAGCAACCTAAGTGCCCATCAACAGATGACTAGATAAAAAAGACGTGGTACACATATATATCATGGAATACTACTCAGCCATAATAAACAAAATTTTGCTATTTGCAACAACACGGATGGACTTGGAGGGCTTTACGCTTAGTGAAATAAGTCAGACAAAGACAAATAATATATGATATCATTCATATGTGGAATCTAAGAAAATAAACTAGTGGATATAACAAGAAACAGACTCAAAAATACAGAAAACAAATTAGTGGTTACCAGAGGAAAGGGGAGGGGCAGTGCAGGAGTAGAGGATTAAAGGGTACAAGCTATTATGCACAAAATAGATAAGCTACACCTCAGGGGAGGAGGGTATAGCTCAAGTGCTAGAGCACATGCTTAGCATACACAAGGTCCTGGGTTCAATCCCCAGTACCTCCTCCAAAAATAAATAAACTTAATTACCTCCTCCCACAAAAATAAAATAATAAGTAAATAAGCTACACCCCAGTACCTCCTCTAAAAATAAATAAAATAAATAAATTACTTCCCACCCTAAGTAAATAAATAAATAAACTACAATGATACAACACAGGAGATATAGCCAGTATTCTATAAATGGAGTGTAACCTTTCAAGATTGTGAATCATTATGTGGTACATCTATAAGATATAATACTGTACATCAAGCATACTCCAATAAAAATTAAAAATAAAAAAAATGGGCAGAGGATCTGAGTTGATAAATTTCCAGAGAAGACATGCAGATGGCCAACAGTTATTGGCAAAGGTGCTCGCCATCATTAATCATCAAGGGAATGCAAATCAAAATCACAAATACCACCTCACATCTGTTAGAATGGCTGTTACCAAAAAGGTAAAAAAATAACAAACATTATTAGCAAAGATGTAGAGAAAAGGGAACACTTGTGCACCATTGGTGGGAATATAAATTGGTGCATCCACTATGGTAAACAATATGGAGTTTCCTTCATAATTGAGAATAGAACTATCACATGATCCAGCAATTCCACTCCTGAGTATTTGCTCAAAGAAAAGGAAATCACTTTCTTGAAAATATCTGCACTCCCATGTTCACTGCTGCACTATTTACAATAGCCAAGATATGGAAACAACCTAAATATCCATTGACAGATGACAGACGATAGATGAATGAATAAAGAAAATGTGATATGTGTGTGTGTGTGTGTGTGTGGTGGAATATTTGTCATTAAAAAAGAAGGAAATCCTGCCACTTGTGAC